AAAAATGAAGAACAGCAAAAAAGGCAATGTTTAGACTAAGACTGTTCTGAACATCATCACACCTCTATATCGAAATACTTGGTCAATGAACAAATGGATTAGTGAAGCTTTCTTGCATTTGAAACTGCTCAGAAAGCTACTAAATTAAAAGCTCTGTATTATCAACAAAAAGAGAAGTAACTTTAAAATAATTTTATCCTTTTATCTCAGGATAATTATAGAAAGAGTCAGGCTAACCCTATGTCTTCTACATTTGGATGCTCATAGGACACCGACTTATTTAAGAAACCACTTTGGAATCTTTGATCATTTGTGTATGTGTTTACAGAAGTCGCTTCTTGCTGATGTTTCCTTAGCCTTCTACACTTTTGTCCTTAAATCTCCTCCCATATCACCTACTTAAGAATTAACTTCCTTTTTTAAAAAAATATAGGAAGTTGCACCAAAGTTGGAATTATTAATGCTTATGGAGGGTACCCAGTACTGTGGCCCACCCGTGTAGGCAGCACCAGCTGCTATGTACTGACTGAGCAAGAGATTCAGCTTCATAAGAAGACATTGCTGTATCAGCTTTTGCCCCATGATGGGCTGCCTGGAGTAGCAGTCTTGCAAGGACCCTTCTAGCAGTTGAAGAAGTCATGAGGTGAAGCCAAAAAGGGAAAGCATGGCTGCAAGAAGTCAGGCCTTCTCCAAGGTTCTCCTGAGGTGGAGGCCAAACGTGTCTAACTTGACTGAAAACAAATAAGAGCTACGCTGGTACTCCCCCTTTCTCTGGCACCCAAATCACTGAGCAAGAACATCTGAAGATGACGGCTTTCTGGCTTTCTTCTGCTTTCATTTAATGTTTCAATGTAGTGTAACAATTTGTAGGAAGAGACAGCAAAAATAGAGCTGCCACATTTGGGAGCTCAAAAAGGTCTAACAAGCTAGTCATCATGTATTCGAGCGTTATTTTTAAGGCAAGAATCATGTTTTAAAATAAGTCTGTTAGTCACTTCAATTTCAACAGATTTGCTGGCTCTGAGAATCTATCTCTACTGGCACAGCGGTTATGCTCCCAGCAAGGTGTATTAAATAAATACTTGGACATAAAAGCTGATACAAGTTACAAAAAAACAAAAAAAAGAAAGTTCCAGCATGTAAGTACATTAATAGCCTAAATCTTAATATTCTGACAAATTTATGATTGTTTTTTCCTATCAGTTGAAGGAACAACACAGAAGAAAGAAGCTACTACCACTCTCTGCTTACATATTAATATTAGCAGGGAAATGTAAATTGTTCTCCTGAAATGAGCAACCACACCTCCATTGTATGGTTAGATGGTCTGTCCTTTTCTTCTTCCATCATAAATGCTGAATTTCACTAATTAAAAAAAAAATTGTTCTGTTCTTTGGCATTGTTCAAATTCTGAACCCAAAGCTGAACTGAATTCTTTTTGATACTTACTGGCTGTCAGAAGTAATTTCAGGAATCTGAAAGTTATTAGTTGACATAGTTTAGAGTTGTTATTTTACCTTTGCTCAAAACACAGTTGTATTTTTCAGGAAGTCCTATGTAACTACTGCATTTCAAAATGCACCACTTACTATAACAAGTTCATTTCTTCTGTAACAGCTAACAGCCATGGCATGACAATTTCAGCATGAGACAGTGTGACAATGGGGGAATAAGATGTATTGCATTTAAATCTCACAGGGAGTGAGCACCATGTATCTGACACCACAGCTACAGAAACAGCTGAAAACAGCACCCTGCGAAAAACAGCTCCTGCAACAGCACTCTGCCATTTATACATTTTAAATGTAATCTGGTTGATTATCTCATCTTTTCCTTCTAAATTATTTTCACGGAGTCAGAGATTTTTGAATGCTTTAGACCCTTTCTCAGTAGAGTATCAAATGCAGCATGCTTTAACTCAACACCGCAAAGGTAGCAGAGGTGCAAGGACTAAGCAACTGGGTGTAAAAACATAAGAGGTAGAAAGGAAAGGAATATGTGAAACAGGAAGTAATTTATAGTCAGCATAGGTTTTTTTTTTTAATAGCAAAGAGTCTCCTTGCATCCCATGTTAACTAGATGGGTCACATTTTTTGTCAAAGTAGTCATACGTCACTAAAGTTGTGGAACTAATCCATTTTGTCCTAGCAGAAGACACCTCCCCAGACTCTTGATTTCTTACGCTGTGAGAACAAAATAAGCACGTATGTGATCAACTAATTAAAACCAAGCCACTTTAAAATGTTCAGTAAATTCAGTCAGTACAGTAAATCTGCTTATGCTGACAAGATATTACCTTGCTTGTAAAAATGACCCTTATTTATGCACTTCCAGAGACATCCAAAGAAGAATAATTTTGTAATGTTTTACCTGTAAAATTTGCTGACAGAATTTTATATTGGCTTGCAAGCACGCATATTATTTGACTCTAGTGTAGGTCCCTAATTTCAAACATTTTTCATAATAGAAGTATTCTAATTACCCAGTGTCTCTCTTGGATCTATGTTCTTTGACAGGCATTGTTATATAGAAGGCACTGAATATGCTGGAATGTCGTCTCAAAGGAAGATGGACAGTTATCAGTAACTTTGGATGACTTTCAAAGACATTGACAGATACTATGAAGCTTAATTAAAGTGCCAGGTACTGACACACTTCTTTACCCTTAGTAAAGCGTACATTCTGTGTCTTTATCAGTTATTACTAACATCTTCATACCACCTGTACGGAAGTATTAAAATTCAGGATACTGAGTTGATTGCACTGTAATGCAAATACTACTGGATGTCTGTTGTATCCTCTTTCATAGATCGTCACTATCAGTTTTATCATTAAATTAATGGTGTTGGTGCTGGATCTAACATTAGAACTACTGCAACAACGTTCTCAAAAACACACACTTTTGTTTCCGATCTCAAAAAGAACATACAGTACCATCAAAATTAACTGGCTAATATATTCAACCAAAATAGCATGACATACTTGTCACAGCATATACGCAGAATCCACTCAGCATCAGAAGATTCTACAAAAGTGTTGCTCATCAGCCTATACATCTACCTGCATACAGTACATACAGTGACTGCTTTTGAGAACACCATCAGGTGGCAAGCAGAATGAGTGCATTTTGCTTCTAGAGAAATCATCTGAAAATAAAGACAGCAACATAGTGCCATGGTAGATTTGAATACCAGAATCCTAACAGCAATAAGGTGAGTGGTTACCAAGTATGCCAGTACCATTAAATCACATGATTACATATCATGTTGCATACAACACTTTTAAATGGAAGAAGAATAATGTAGGAAGCTAGGACTCTGAAGAATGCTTTGATTTTAACTCAAAATACAAATTAATTCATTGCTATTTACTTTAAACGGATGTTATGTACCCATGTACTCATCCAGTCATATATAAATAAATATCACAGTTTAATCTATGAAATAATCTGTGAACTTCCAAAATGTTTTAACTTTGATTTGTGAATCCAAAAATTTCACTCTATTAAAACTCTCTATAAAGCCCCAGCGTCAAGTATTCTATTCCTAGAACCTTATCAAGATTATTATCCACAGTATCATCAGACTCGTTGCTATACTGATTACTTTACTGGTCATACACCACGAGATGTTCCTCCCATCTAAATAACTGATTAGCAACTGTAACTTCCCGATGTTCCTATTACATTTCACCATTCTTCTTTTACTCATACACAAATACTCAAGAATATTATGCTTACTCCACATGGCTTGAAACAGCTAAAAATCTTCTGTCAGATATCATCACCTAGTTTCACGGCTAGTTAAAACATGGGGAAGAGTATGGGAGATGAATCCAAAGAAATTCAGCACACTAATTAGGTACTTTGCCTTCTGAAATAAAATTTTCATCTAGAAAATCCAGTATGTGTTTTTTTTCTGTAGTCCTGTTTAATGAATCACATTTAATCTCTGAGAGAGTACAAAAGCACACCACAGGCTAAATGTGGTATTTATTTTTGGATTCCTTCTGCAGTAAGGATGTCAATTTGAAAAACGAGTGGTACAAGCAAACCAATTAAAGAAAATGATAGAGTGGTGCGTTATTGTTTGAGTTGCCACTTCCTAGTACACCTTTCAAATAAAATACAACTTCCATGTGTATACCCCATTTTGATTTATGTACTGAAAAACTTAATTTTTCTTTTCCGTATACTTTTTGGTATTTTTTTTTTGCCACCATCTTTCTTCAAGGTAAGAAAACGAGTAAATAGCTTGCAATGACAACTATTTCCATACTGTTTTCTGTCACTGCCCTTCTGTTTTCTGCCCTTTCACCCTTCTCAGACCAAACCAATTGAAAGTTCTGCTTCAAAAGCAAAAGGACCAGTCTCTTCGCTAACCTTCTCTATATCCATATAATGCCAGGCTGTGAAATGAGTCCCACTATTCCTCTTTATTGTCTATTGATATGTGAAGTCCAAAGGTATTCTACTGTGTGTGTTTGAAGAATGAATAGAAAGTGAAGCATATTAACATTTTTGCCCAAGCGGCAGAGATACATTTTTAGAATAATGTGAAGGGATTTAGATGTGTGACTTGCAATTACCTTAATGGCAGCCATCTGGTTCAACATCAATACATCACACTGAAATTTTACCCCATGCTGCACATAAGTAACATAGTAATTTACAATAAACCATCTTTCTTGGCCAGGAGTTAAGAAAGAACATTTTTGAAAGAGAAAACATTTAGCATTTATTCCACCAAGGCCTCCATACGAGTATTTGTTTTGTCTGGAATAAAAACAACAAACCTCTCTCCTCTGGCCCTTATTTTCACTGTAAAAATAATCTTCTTGTCAAGCATATGGGCATATATTTAAATTTGGGGAATCACTCAGTAAAGGATATTAGTCTATCAGATAATGCCTGAAATCTGCACCTCAGATTAAAACATCTGCTCCTGCTTTTTTCCAAGGAACATAGCAGGCTGCATCTTCAACAGCACATGAAAACTCACCTTATTACAAAGTCATGGCTATCAATCTCTTTTCCACATCCACTGTCCAGAAGGATGCCAGAATTCCCAACAACTGCACAGGTTTTAAATCGGCGATTCTTCATTGGAGAAACTTCAGGGAGAAGGCTGTGCAAATCCTGAGAAATGTTTAGTGTGCGACGTCTGTCCAGTACATAATGGATTACATCTCCCGGCTTGAAGCTGCTTCTGACAACTGAGACATCTCTTTCAGCATCCAAGAATCGAAGAATGTTCTTTCTGGGTTGACAGAAAAATGCACAGATAAAACCCGACACTCACTGTTCACATGTATTTATCTAATAGTAATACTGACTTTAGAGAGCGTACAACACAAAGAGAGTGTACAACACAAAGCAGTGGGTAGATAGCACCAGACAGTCTAAGGTCATTTCCCATGCTCTAGGATGGAGTTAGAGCAAAGCTGTTAGAACAGAGTTCAACTCTCGCTTACAATATAACATGTAAACACTACAGTGATAGAGCTTAGTGACTTCCTACAGACAACGGCTCTGAGAGACCAAGGGAAGATGACTTTGGAAATTAGAAGGCATACTATTTTTGAGTATTTTACAAAACTTTAGAATAAACACATATTTTATAAAAGACTAGAGCAGTTTTATTTCATAGAAACCTAGTCAAATATATGAGGTATTTATGATTCAGGAAACAAACACTTCACTACAATCTCATCTCTCACAGATCAGATTGGTTCCGGAACGGCCATGTTTTCTTACAGATCCTTGTTTCACCGCAAGAGTAACATACTAGTTTAGTGTAAACTTGCTCCTAATTAAGTTCTGCCAAAATTATCTCAATTAACTTGAAAGAATACCCACAGTCTTTTGTACCACTTTAAACAAAATCAGCTTAAAAACATACAGCATATTAAACTACTGCAGCTCAGGGTCTAGTCAAGCTGTTAGCTGAACTCGTAGAAACACATACAAACTCTATCATTGCTTTGAATCAGGTTAGTCCAATTCTTTGTCTTGCTTCTCGGCAACCAATTGTTTAAACTATTAGCCAAGTTCAGACACACACAACCAAGATATGAGGGTTTAACAAGCTACCATGGGTCAAGTGAACTATAGTAACTACACAGTTGTATACCCCCAGTCTGTAGCAAGTAACAGGTGAAGAATGTCTGCTTAAATGTCAGCTGAAGAAGTTAAGTCATGGTATTTGTACTTCCTTACAGGGTGGGGGTAGCGTCTAAAAACTGACACACTTTCAATACATAAGTTCCAAAAAGATGCTTTTAATGACTGCAGGTATGTAATGACTGATACCTGCACTGGCAGTGTTGAGCAGTTTTCAGTACACACTTATTGTTAGTATACAAAGCTGGAAAGGACTCCAGGACAGAGCTGCAGGAGTCCCTGGTAGCTCAGGACTGCAAATGAGCAAAGCCTTACAAGTTTGTGTCCATCCTTGCTCTGCAAAGCATGTACGTTTGTGAAGAGGCATAAAGATCACACCTGAACTTAAGCGCATACTTAAGTACAACATACTTCTGGAACAGACGCGGACTGCTGAGCTGGGGCAGGGTGCTGACTATGTGTTAATTTGAATAGAAACTTTTGCTTCTGCAACTCTAACAATACAAGAAGAAAAACCATATATTTTCCACTGCTGTCAGCAGGTAAGGTGGAATTTAAACTGAACAGACATCTTCTTGAGTAAGAGAATGCTGGTTTTACGTAGTAAGTTTTTAGAGCAGAACTTCCCTAGAGCAGACCAAAACAGGAAAAGATAACTAGCTGCTGCAACACCCACTGAGAGACATAAAGGGGAAATAATCCCCCACAAGTGAACAGGAACACCATGCACACCAACCAGCTCTTGTGTCACTGCCTCAAGTGGGAAGAATGTATCTGAACCTTGCAACCAGTGACACAAAATACTCAGCCTGGAACTAACCTTAAAAGCCATAGGGGAAGTGAAACATGGCAAAAATATTTTTTCAAGTGTTTCACCTCTTTTCTTAAACTAAGGAAAAAAAAAAAAAAAGCAAAGAATGTCTTGGGCTGTCTGTTATAGCTGTCATGTCTGAATGAAGCAGCTTGTGCTGAGGCTTGTGAGGTACTCAGAATAACAGAGCAGGATAGACAATTTTAGAATCCCGAGTATCTATAGCTTTTGTTAAGGTCAGGCCAGGTATTTCTGTAAAAGAAAGAAGATGACTTCACCTCAGCCTGCAAACTGAATGGACTTAAAATCTCCATGGGTTTGATAAGCCTCACTTTGTGGATTCCCTGCAACACACATATAAATTGCTACAAAATGAAACAGAGCAAGAAAGATAGAATTGCCCAGTCTATCAGTATTAAAAATGACTAAAATTCTTCATTACCAAAGAACAGAGCTACAAGAACGGTGGCTGTAAGGGACAAGATGCATGCATCAAAAGTTATCACAGAATCATAGAATCATAGGTTGGAAAAGACCTTTAAGATCATCAAGTCCAATCATCAACCCAACACCACCATGCCTGCTAACCCATATCCTGAAGTGCCACATCTACATATTTTTTAAACACCTCCAGGGATGGTGACTCAACCACTTGCCTGGGCAGCCTGTTCCAATGCCTGACCACTCTTTCACTAAAGAAATTTTTCCTAATATCTAATCTAAAGCTCCACTGATGCAGCTTGAGGCCACTGTCTCTCATCCTATCGCTAGTTACTTGGGACAAAAGACCAACACCTGCCTCACCACAACCTCCTTTCAGGTAGTTGTAGAGAGCAATAAGG